GCATCCACATAGACATCGCGGAGCTGGACGCCTACTCCCGCGTCTTCTTCCCCACGTCCTTCCTGCTCTTCAACTTGGTCTACTGGGTCGGGTACCTGTACCTCTGAGCGGTGCCGGCGGTGATGAGGGGCGCGTGCCAGGCTCCCCTCGCTCCCTGCCGCCCTGCCAGGCCCCTAGTGACCCATCGGAGTAGCAAGGAGGGCGCGGCTCGGTTTACCTGCCCTCACACCTCACCCCACCTCTGAGCAGCGTGGGAGAACACGGCAGATATCATTATGTGTTTCACCCTCACATGTGCGTGCACACACACACACACACACACACACACACACACACACTGGGTTTTCAAGGGACATTCTTGCTAATCCCCTCCTGAACCTGCAGCTTGGTGATGTTCATGAACGGCTCCGGGGATGTTGGAAGTGGCTGCCGATGATCCTTGCAAAGAAATCTCTTCACACACGCAAGCAGATGTCTGAGACGCTCTCTCAGACCCCGACTGACGGCCGGCTCTTTCCTTTGTCGTCCTCGGGGGCACGAGCACCCACGGGTGTGGGGTGACTGCAGCTGAGACACACTCCTACTGCCCTCAGCCCCATGCCCCCTCCACCCCTCAGGGCAGCCCGGGTTCAAGTGTGAACGGGGGTGAGTTTCGAACCCGTTTCCCCTCTCTGTGGCCTGTTTTGCTCCGGCACTGCAGTGGTTAGCTACCATTCCTTTGGGGAGGGGGTACATGCATCATCCCTCGGTTTCCCGTGGAGGAAACAATCGGATTTTCAAAGGTTTTCATGTGGCTGAGGTCAATGATGTTGATGATCGCTGAGCATCAGAAGGTCATTGCTCTATTGCAGACCACTGGGAGTCGGTGGCGTCCCAGCCGTGGGGTCTAGGGCTGGTCGGCTTGCGTCCGCGTTGTGCCCGGGGTCCTGTTTGATTGGACCCCTCGGGGCAACCCCGGAACGTGTGTCCTGCGGCTGCTCTGCTAACACGCTTTGACGATCATCTCCATCTTTCCAAGCAACGCACACACCATGCCCACGCCTTTGTCTCAAACGTGTTTTCCAGCGTGTGAACGAAATGTAGATACAATTTTAAACATTTTCTTAGTGCATATTAACTTCCAAGTCGGATCACTTCAGATGCCAAAAAAAAAAGGAAACGGCTGTCTTTAGTGATATATTTTGATGCACAAAAATGCTTTTATACTTTGAAATATGGATACCTAGCAAAAGCCCAAAGAAACGATTCCCTGAAATTATTACTCTTTTGATATTTTTATAACAAAACCAACTCGCTTCGTGATGTTAGTTGTTTGTTTGTTTTTAGGGTGTTTTTTTTTCCACTGGATGCCCGTGTGTACTTCCCAAGATGCTTTCGAAGCTCCCACCATGTACAGGAAAACAAAAAAAGAAAGGGCCTATCAGCTGGTTAATTTCCATACTAAAGTTTTAGGACCAGAATCTCTGTGCTTCTCGCCCAGAAAGTTGAATTAATTCTATTGGCAGGCATAGGATTTTAGCTTAGTGATCTATTGGACATATTGTTGTGTCTCAGAAGAAAAAAAAAAAGATAAACCATGATGCAGAGCAAATACAGGAAAGTGCTGATTCCACACCATTTATTGGATGCTGACCAGACCCAGGAGGGGATGGGAGGGGAAGAGGCCCAAGAGGTTGACGTAGAGGAATCTGTCTGTTTTGATGACTGTCACTGCCTGTCCAGGGAGTGAAAATCTAAGGGTGTAGGATCACCCAGTATCCGAGGGTTAGGTCTGTGGTATGAGGCACTCAAGCCCCATAGACCGCAAGCCAATTGGCTTCTACTTAGCAAATCCAGTTTTAAAAGTAAGTTGATAAATGTTTGCGGAGGAACTGGCGGGATCTCTTGGCTTCGATGAAAATTCTGCTCTTTTGAGAATTTCACCCGTCGGTGGATCCACCACCTCCCACGCCCCGGTGGCCGGCGGGACGTCAGCATGTCCCACCAGAGCGCCGAGTACCCAGGGAAGGCGGGGCCGAGGCCGGTCCTCTTCCAACACAGCTGCCAATGTCACGGATTTATCATTCCTCACAGTGTGAAGGGTTTCAACCTATTGCACCTTCAAAGAAGTTCTGGAGGGAATGGAATTTTCCAGTGAAACTCTTCTTGGGAGGAAAAGAGCCGACAGCATTTTTTTATCACATAGACCTGACCCAATTTTACCTTAAAAAAAAATTGTTTTTACGGATGCCTCTCCTTTCAAAGCCACGCAAGACCCGGGCGTTGTTGGCGATGCTCATGAAATTATGCTCATTGGCCGTGCAGACCAATAACCTCCGTTTGCGCCCCCCAGCCT